TATATATATATATATATATATATATATATATATATAATGGTTGATTTCTTCCCCCATTAGTCATATATTGTAATTATTATCAGCCGTGATCTCGAAATGTAACATTCTGTGCTTTGTTTGTGTAATTTTGTGTGAATAGGGCAATTTTGTATAGCAATGTGCGAACATTAAATTCCACCAGAAACAGATAATTTTACTTCCACGGATATCCTGTGCTTTGCTCCAAAAGTCATTTCCCTAACCGCGTGGATATTCCGAAAGGCTGGCGAAGATAAGATTGTGTTAACGTATTCAAACGAAAGCGCATTTAAAGACTTTGGGGGCATTCCCAAAACACACTAAATTTAATTGCTTTGAAGTTTAATTGTGATGTATTGTAATTTTAGAGCATTTTCTCAATCAAAACCTGTTTTTTGACTTTCAATTGGCACATTCATTGCGACTTTGTTAATATCCTCGTCTATACGATTTACGTACTTGAGTAATAATAAAAAAATAACAACTCATATTATACTCACATATTATTCTTCCTTCCAAAGCAAAGCTCACTACAGAAGAAAGTAGCAAAGCCGAATAAATGCCTATATTTAGACCATAATACATTACTCATTTATAGTTTTGAAACGTTTGTAGAACAATATTTTAGTAATTCATTGTTCAGATTCTATGCAAAATGAAAGCAAGAACTGCGATGCTTGAATATTTGGTCATATTTAGGGTGCTTAAAAAAGCTCATATTTAAAATACTATTAATATATAACATGTCCGAACATATCAAATAATATGTGTATCATTGCGTGGTGTGGTATTGTTCAAATGACATATGTGTCTTTTTCTTCAAAATCTTTTAATGTCAATGATACAGTCACTCTATCATCAGAGAGAACTAATTACTGAATATTGTACGCATTTTATTTGTTCCTGAAATTTTAAAATAACTTCCTTTCCCCATTTATTTATAAATGCAATGTATTGTAAATTGTTAACTTCACAGTTCCTGTAGGTTTTCTAAGCATTTCTCACCTGCACTTAAAGGAAGTTTTAAAAAAATAGTCCATGAAATGAAGGTAGTTAGGAAATTCTTTCTGCGCAGCTTAAAGGTTTATGTGTAATTTTCGTTGAAAATGTTTTGTTATGTACTATAATATCAGTAAATGTAACGTAGAAAATTCTTATTACAAGTTTTATTCATGAATTTTCGAGCCGCATTAATGTCTCTTTTATTATTATTATTATTATTATTATTATTATTATTATTATTATTATTATTATTATTATTAATGAGTTTTGACTACAAAGAATTGACTGCCCCAATCAAGACACGAAATCATGTCTCCGGTATATGGACAATTGATCTTCTTTATTTATATTTTGTGCGCGAAAATGTCATCTTAGGACCACGCAAACGTGCAATTGTCTCCACCGAGGCCCAGTCATATTCTCGTGGGGGTAGATGCATGTGACATCTTTTTTGGGGGATCAGCAGTTTTGCGCTAAATCCATTTTTTACGCCCCAACGTTGTTAGCCCTTAGTAAGAGTGGGGGATGAGAAATGAAATGACGATGATTAATGATGATTGGAGAATTACAAACACAGAGACACACACAAACATCCATGCCCGGGCGGGACTCGAACACGCGACCCTTGAGGCACGAGGCAGTTACGGCTCCTCAGCGTCGGCGACCTCGGTTGTCCGGGCCGGCTAAGTGCTGAAGCACCAAACGGACCTAAGGCTAACTTCCTTTACAATACAAAAGCCTATACTTGGCCACACCTATTCTCTCAGAAGCGTCTTCGTTGACCCAGCTACAGATACAGCAATTTGCTAGTGCATTGCGGAAGCTACTCTTACCCCTGAAGGAAATCGAATGGAGAAACATAGTATTTAGTATTGTTTATTTTCAATGTATTTTTAGAGGTTTAATGATGATGACAGTTTGAAAAATTGAACTGTTGTCTAGTTCTTGGTATGTAGAAGGTGACCACGGATACAGAATGAGCGCTTTTATAGTGCTGCGATCCTGTGGCGAATACAGGAACCTATGAGTATGAAGCCAAGATATCAACGCTGTAGTGGCTCTAATTGGAATTAAGAGAACCGATATTTATGTTTCAAAACCAGTTTATCGTTCTATTGGGTAACAAAAAACCAGACTGCTTTATACGAAATTGCCTAAATTAAAAACTACATATTAAATCAACTGGCGCTGAACCCTTGAAATATTTATCTTATATTTTATATTTCAGTGAGGCCTTACTTGCTTTATGCAGTTTATGTCAGCCCGTCACTGGAAGTTGATAGATTGGTTCTCTCAATATCAAATTCCATTCTTTGATTCAAAGGATTCATTAAATAAATACGCTCTGAATATTCGCCATTTGAAAAACTTCAACATTTATTCAGCATCTTCCTATAACTACATATTGAAGATAGATTTTCCTCAATCAAAACTGTTTTTCAAGAATAGATCTTTAAATAATGTCATGAATAACTTTTCAAAAATATGAGTAGGTTTTGCATAATTTTGCCTCAAATTTACAAAATTTTAACTATTATTGTCTCAAAAAGAATTGTCTTGTTTTTTCTCGTCCCAAAGAAGCGGGGAAATGGTGTTGGCTCCATTTTCGGCAAACTGTAATGGGGCAAATTCCGTTTTCGGCGAAGTTTCTGTACTTTCAGAAATTGCTTACTAACAATTAACATTGTAAACACTCAACACTTATGATACAGATTTGTTCCTTAAAGAAATTTGTTCTTTAAAACTAGATCGTGAAATAATGTACGTGAAATTCTCTAATTTTTTTAAAGCTGCAAATGCAAATGATCAACTTTTTTTGAAGCATCAGCAAGGGTGACGGGTAATCAGAATGGTGTGCTGAATCTGAATTCGATTATCAGCGACGAAAAAATTGATGGTTGGAAACACGTTTGTAGAATTATAATGTTGTTTAACCATTTCAAATAATGCCAGAAAATGTGTGTTGTTGTAGCACCAGTAGCTAAAGTTGTACCAGTATTTATCTCAAGAAGGGGAGTGGGTTTACTACATACGTTCAACGCAAGGAGGAGGATGTTTGGTAAAAGAGGTATTACAAAGAAGGAGATAGGGGTAAAAACAATAATTACTACAAACATCTTTTCAGATAGTCCCA